AGTGTGAAAACAAAACAAAAAAAAAGATAATGGAATGAAATACTTTTGTGACTCGCGTCCGCGTTAGCTAACATGATAACATCGCAAAATAACGCCAAAAAAACATCTTTCAAAAAAATTTTTTAAAAGAAAAAACACAAAGATCTTGAAAAGACTGTCTTAATCTGTCGAAAATCTGGTGATGGAGCAGATTCAGCGATATCTGATGCYAACAGAACTAAACAAAAAACTCCAATTACGAGCTGCTAATGACTCGGGGGAAAACAGTTGAGGATTACGTGTTCCAATGTTAAACAAACAATTTACATCAGAGCGCATCATATATAAGTGGGCGAGTTGAATCATTTCCTTCGTGGGAAATTTGATCATGGCTTCATCATCCACAAGTAAGTAGATATCATTTTTTTTCCTCGTTTCAATAGTTAAAAAAGTTTTTTTTTTTCAATGCTTTTTTCCTCTTATTTTAAAGATACAAATGCAGATTGTCATACTGAAAAACCCGCATTCATGATGGTGAGCACGTGCGGTCACCGCTTTTGCGAGCCATGCTCGCAAAAAGTTTTCGACAGGGACACCTGTCCACTTTGCCAGTAAGTAATTCAAAGCCTATTTGAGAAACTATTTTGAAATCCATATAATTTGTTTTCATAATTCAATACGTAGTGCCCAGATTGATGCTGTGGTTCTTGGCTTCGTGGACAGGTGTCCATTTAATGAAGCCGTCCTGGCTGCGTGCCGGGACGTGTTTTCGCAGCCGGCTCAGAAGAGCAAAAAGGTATGTGAATATATTCAAATGATTTTTCTTGGTTTATGGATTACATCTCAATTTTTCTCGTTTTTCTTTCGTTACAGTAAATATCCAAGTACTTGGCACGTCAACAGAAATCAGCCATTCTTACGAGTTGAGGACAACCTCCAAATACAGAAAAAATATCACGAGAACTGATAGACGTGTCTGTTAAGTATCTGTAATGTAGTTGTTAATGTTAGTTGTTAAATATTGTCATATCAGTTGCGCTCATCCTGTAATTCAGTTTTTTTCGCTTGTATTGCACTGCGAAAGGATTGTAATAAACATATATTATATCAAAAATGACATGTAAAAATAAAACGCTTTAAAATCAAATCATGTCTTCTTCACTGACCTCCGATTTTTT